TCTCTGACCGCATTTATTTATCTGTTTAGGCTGCATACTCACAGCAGGTCCATAAAAGAGATGGGAACTTCTCTTTGGTGTATGGGTCACTCAGGTGAGTGTCTAGGATATAGGGTTAGGGATCTTACCATCATGATAGGACAATAAAACATTAGATTAGATGTATACTATATTTAAAAATGTATATCCCTCATCTAGACAAAATTGAAAGCTCTCTCACTACCCCTGCTCATAGACCCCCGTCGGCTCTGGGATATGCAACCATTTCCCCTCTCACTCACTTAACGCCGCACCTTTCCAAACACAAAAATGCACACCACATGGTTGACTGCGGAAGAAATGGGCCGAGTGTGCAAACGCACCTGCATCCACACCTGCCGCAAGGGGGAAAGGACGCCAGAGAGAACACAGGACCAACCACAACAACCATCCGCCAAAACAACAACCGCCCGCCAAAAAAGCCATGTTCTAATTAGTTATATTTGAAGATGTATTATTCTGCTTGTTCTCTATTCTTGTTATATCGTTTTATCCTTTTATAAAATACTATACTTACTATAAATGTTCTTTAATATTACAATCCCTATCATTGCTAGTATTGGGTGTTCCATTATTCGACTCCTCTATTACAACTTTTAGAATAGCCATGGAGTAGTCTTTGTGTCTCTGAACATTTGGTTGTCGATATACAGTTTATCCACCACGAGTGCAACACGTTTCCCTTTTAATCTGTTTTCCTTGAAAATTGGATACAGAACTTTGCGCCTTTGTGCAATCTCCCTCGGGAACTGATCATTCATGCCTATTTTCATGCCAGCAAGTCTCTTCCCTAGGCTTTTAACCATTGCTTTATCCTTAAAAAATGCAAATTTGGCGCTCATATTTCTGTCCTCTTTTTCCGAAACGGTGTACACGTTCGAGTTGGATTTTATCGACAGCCTCGAGTGGGATTTGAAGCCTTCATAATATTCTCTGTTATTTCTCCCTCCTTTTCCTGAATACCCGTAAGTCCTAGATTTTCTCTCATCGATCTAGTTTGGATGTCTAGTAAGGCTTCTCAGAAGGTTGTTCTCCTTTTTAAGTTCCCTAACGTCCGTTTCCATCTTAGAGACTGTCACTTTTAATTTTTTGGTTTCTTTCTCACTCATTTGAAAACTCGCTTTCAACTCTACGTCCTAACTGACCAATTTTAGTATGCCCAATTTGTCATTTATCGACTTCAACAGGTCGCTTTCCACACCTATCAGACCCAGTGGTGAAAAGCATATATTATCTGTATCAGTCGATGAGTCGCGTTTCCTCTTGGGGATCAGTTCTCCTCGCTTATCTTCCGCCATGTTTGGGTGTTGCATGTTGTTGTAATAGTTGTCGATATATTTCTCTAGCCTTATGATTTGTTTTGTGTTATTATCCAGATTGAATTTTATTAACTGCGAATATATGAAATGCTAATATTTAGTCTAACTTCCTGATTTTGAATATGTTTTTATCTTGAGGTGGTTTGTACGGCTTTCTATTCAATACGCCATCTTGTCTACGTGCGCGTCATGTGCCTGCGTCTGTTGTATTGATTATTAGCACTGTCGTTAGCTTCAGTAGCTTGGCTATTAGTGTGTGTGTTAGTTCAGCCTTAGCACGCAACAAGATTCAAGCATGTGGGCTTTGAAAGCATTACAACACCAGTCTAAATCCTTGAGGAGCAGCATGTATGTAGTTTGTCATTTCCCCATGTGTAAGTTAACGCTTACATTACATCATACACCATGTAGGCTACCTGGATCAGAATGCACACAATCATAAAAATGGTTCTTTGGGGACTTTAGTTTTTTGAAAACCGTGATGACTAAGACAGGACAGGAATACCACTAAAATAAAGCTCACTTTTCCCATCACATTGTGTGGGTGGGCAGTAATGTCCTTTTCTCAAGCAGAACAATTTTAAATTCAGTCCACTGCAAACAGAACAGTGAAAGGTTCATTCCCAGGCACCATGATGTATGGTTAATGTGGAGCACATGGAGAACACACGACTGCATGGAACAACAGCGAGCACTGATCTGAATATATAAGGAGGGGTGTGTGCTGTGTATGTGCTCAATATGAATCCTGCAGTGGTCTCGTGGTGCGGCCTGCTGCATCTTACAAAGATCAATAAGCCATTAAAACACAGACAAGAGTCATGGTCTGGTTGCCTAGCCCTCATTTCAATCTCCTCATTCACTACCAAGCCAATCAGTGGAGCACTGAGCACCTTCTCTCTCATTACAGAGGCCCATGGAGGTAGGGCTTGGCGGTAAACCATAAAAAACTATTGGAATTAATTCACGGACTGGTTTGGATTTTTACTTTATGTGGCGTACCGCGGACAAGCCACCAGGGGGAGACTCGTCGAGGCCTGGTGACAGCCAGTCTACATCACACGGCGGTGGCTCCCTCTGCTGGACTTGCCAGGTCTCGACGGGTCCTCCGACCAGGACTAAATTGGGGCTGATTGAGGCTGGTGAGTAATCAAGGGGCTGATTGCTCACCAGCCATACGGGGCCCATAAAGATGCCAGGAGGGCAGCACAGGGGAGAGGTCGGAGGTAGTGAGAGGTTGCTACCGGATAGTCATCCTCACGGTCTGCTAGAACCGAGGGGCTTGGTGTTCTACCCCAGAGGAGACAGCATTTCCCGGAGCCCAGAAGACTAACCCTGTTTCTTTTCCTTATTGTTTTAAATAAACACCCTTGAAACTGAGGTATCACACTTGTGTCTGATCTGTGTAAAAGTTTAGATCAAACCCCCTGGTCTGCCACATTTACCTTCTATTAAAAAGGTATTTTAATGTTTGATTTGTTACATTAAATCATAGCAATCACCCGTTTTTATTGGCAGTAAGAAAACCGCTAAAAGCTGAGAACTGCTAGCCAACTTTCTAGCACAACAAGTCAACAACTTCGTGAAGGCAAGCTTGGCAGTTCTTATTTGTGACTATGCACAAATAAGAACTGCAATTGAAGCCAAAAACAGTCAAAGATCATCATATTTATTCTCATAAAGGAGACTTGACGAAATACAGGCATACTAAGACAAAAGTGACAGTGTGTAAATTGATGACAAATTAGCGCAGGAAATGAAGAGATTTATGAAAAAGCAGTTAGTGAATGCTGGAATTTAACAAATAACTATGGAAATGAGAACCATTGGATTTTCATTCCTACGCAATGTTCTACAAATAGGACTACTTCACTGTCAGTTTTGTACTATTATTTTTGGTTGAAGTTTATTTGAATAGCATAAAGCAATCAGAATGGAGAAAGTCCAATAAAACCACATATAATTAATTTGTTGCCATGTACTACCCCTAAGCATACTTAGAACTTTTATTATTCAGAAACAAATACCGTCCAAAATTTGAAAACTACAGTGATATGATCATTTTGGCCATATCGCCCAGCCCTATATGGAGGATATGATTCCTGAAGGTTTTACAGGTCTAAAATAACATGGCTATCTACAGGGTGTACCAGTACCGAGTTGATGTGCATCGGTACGAGGTCATTAAGGTAGCTATGTACATATAAGTTGAGGTAAAGTGACTAGGCAACAGGATAGATCGATAGTAGCAGCAGCGTATGTGGCGAGTGTGAAAGTGCCTATAAAGAAAGGTTCAACGCAGTGTTTTACCCTTTCATTGTATATGCTTTTGTCACCCCATCCGGCCAGTGGCATCTGGTCAGATGAGGTAATCTGGTCAGATGAGACTAAAATGTAGCTTTTTGGCCATCAAGGAAAACGCTATATCTGTCGCAAACCCAGCAACTCTCATCACCCCGAGAACACCATCCCCACAGTGAAGCATGGTGGTGGCAGCATCATGCTGTGGGGATGTTTTTCATCTGCAGGGACTGGGAAACTGGTCAGAATTGAAGGAATGATGGATGGCGCTAAATACAGGGAAATTCTTGAGGGAAACCTGTTTCAGTCTTCCAGAGATTTGAGACTGGGACGGAGGTTCACCTTCCAGCAGGACAATGACCCTAAGCATACTGCTAAAGCAACACTTGAGTGGTTTAAGGGGAAACATTTAAATGTCTTGGAATGGCCTAGTCAAAGCCCAGACCTCAATCCAATTGAGAATCTGTGGTATGACTTCAAGATTGCTGTACACCAGCAGAACCCATCCAACTTGAAGGAGCTGGAGCAGTTTTGCCTTGAAGAATGGGCAAAGATCCCAGTGGCTAAATGTGCCAAGCTTATAGACATACCTCAAGAGACTTGCAGCTGTAATTGCTGCAAAAGGTGGCTCTACAAAGTATTGACCTTGGGGGGGGGGTGAATAGTTATGCATGCTCAAGTTCTGTTTTTTTGTCTCATTTCTTGTTTGTTTCACAAGACAAAATATTTTGGATCTTCAAAGTGGTATGCATGTTGTGTAAATCAAATGATACAAACCTCCAAAAAATCAATTTTAATTCCAGGTTGTAAGGCAACAAAATAGGAAAAATGCCAAGGGGGGTAAATACTTTCGCAAGCCACTGTATATACTGACATCATGTGACACACAGATTGCACACAGGTGGACTTTATTTAACTAATTATGTGACTTCTGAAGGTAACTGGTTGCAGCAGATCTTATTTAGGGGCTTCATAGCAAAGGGGGTGAATACATACGCACGCTTTTCCGTTATTTCTTTTTTTCAAGTTTTTGAAACAAGTTATTTTTTTTCATTTCACTTCACCAATTTGGACTATTTTGTGTACGTCCATTACATGAAATCCAAATAAAAATCCATTTAAATTACAGATTGTAATGCAACAAAATAGGAAAAACGCCAAGCGGGATGAATACTTTTGCAAGGCACTGTAGAGAACCATAATAATCAATATAATCATATGCTTTATCAATCGCCCCTTTCAGTTGAAATAGTCAACACAACCTGTTGTTTCAAGTCAGTACTTGTTTCAAGTCAATACAAAGTTATGGTAAGACAGGATCTATGATGGAGGGAGGGATACTCACTCAATGTCTTTTCGGACAGACCCCAGCAAATCTTCTCTCTCCCGGATGGCAAGGAAGTTGGCTTTGGTTTTGTGGAATTCGTGAGTGTAGTCCTAGGGTACAGCAACAAAAAACAGGAGTTAAGGGAATGAAAAACGATTAACCCCATGGGAGTTAAGTGAAAATTCAAACGATGCATGCAGAGCTCAAGTTAGGACTAAGTTCTAAGAGAGGAATAGGCGAAAGATGAGGGGGAGTGAAAGAGAGGGAGGGAGGGAGAAAGAGAGAGAAACATTTAGAAAGAGTAAGAGACAGACAGACCTGCAGGATGTCTCTGTGTCTCTGGAGCGTGTGCATCAGGGCTGCGTTGAGGGACGTCACCCCCGGGGTGCTGGTGTACTCCACCATCTTGTCATTCACACCCGTGAGCTGAGAGACACAGCACCGTCAGTACACATACACACAACAATGCAGGATTCAACCATGTTGGCATGCCTATGATAGTGAAGCTGAATACTACTTGAGAACAAAAATACATTCTGAAATTTCATATAAACTTCATTTAATTAGAATTATTTGCTGTGAAGTCTTACTTTGGCCAGCAGCTGTTCAATCTCCACAGACATGGTCTCAAACATTCTGTCCTGTGTGGAGTTGTTGAGGAGGGGAGTAGTATCTGAGTTGCTATAGGGCAAAGAGGAAGACAAGGAGGGAGAGAAAGACTATTAGGACTCCCAACATGTGGGCTTGGTAGAGGCACTGTATCACCATATTTGTAACACCTATCAGTTCTTTCATCCATAAACACCAAGAAAAGGCATGTTTAAAGGAGAATCTCCATTGAAAGTGCTTTTTAGTCCAGGAGAAGGCTTAATCTCTGTCCGGGAAACTGGCCCTGAAGGTGTAGAAGGCTAGGAGCTAGAAACCTGAATGGGACTGGGCACTAGTATCACCTGTAATGTAGGAACTAGGCCCTAGGGGAAGGGGTTAGGGACCTAAATGGAACTGGTCTTAGACTTACCTGTCTCCTCGACGGCCATCTCTGGAGCTGCTGTAGCTGGTACACAGTTTACTGAAGGACACCAGCTTCAGGTCCAGCTCATTCTCCAGCTGCCTGGCCTGCTTTCGCAAATCTGGGATGTGCAACACACATAGCAGACACACACACCGTTTGGAATTGAGAAACAGGGTTGGCATTAACGTAAGCCTACAGAAAGATTGTAATCCAAATAGCTAAATCAGTCATATCAGTCATATTAATTAGATGTTGTCTTGCTGTCTTTTCCATATAGGTAGTTAAACATCAGAATTGTTTTCTGAACATAAGTATTTTACTGTATTCAACTAACGTTAGTTATCTATACAATAGTGGTAGGTAGATAACTTTAGCTAAGTGGAAACAAAAAAACTACCAGGCAGTCCTCTAACGTAATCATCTTGCTGCTGTTGACAAGAACTTGACTGGCTAACTAACTAGTTAGCTAGCTAGCACACAAACATAATTTTCCTAACGTTGGCTGAACATATTGATAGCTACATTACTAACGTTAGCTAGCTAGGTGAAACTGAAATCACATAGCTAGTTAATCAACTCGACAGCAATCTAGCTAGTTAGCTAACTACTGTATACAACTAATCTAAAATAGCTAGCTACAACCTAAAGTTTGTATAGATATGTATTTGAAACTAGCTTGCTAGGCTAACCAACATTAGCAAGCTAGCTAGCTGACGTTAACGTTACATCCGTAAACGCTTCACTTGCTAGTAAAGCTTGTTTTGCTAGCTAGCTGTCTCGTGGACAGGCCACCCAACGGCGTGTCGATTTGCTCCAAATTTGACAACACCTTTGGCCTGTAAACCCCCTTATAATTTACCAAACATCGTTGTAAATGTATCCAATGGCTCTGTCTGATCGCACCCTAGTTGCGCCAGTTTGCCACCTCACCTTCCCAGTAGTTGCTGCTTCCTCCTGCCATTTTTGTTGTCCAACGTCATCAGCTGACGCACGGCCCACCTGCTGTACATGGAACTTGAAAACTCCAACCACAACTGTACACTACAACAGCGCCTCCCCGTGCCGCTAACTAGTCATGTGCAGCATCTATTGACAAACTGGTCAGAATATTGGGAACAAAAAAAGCAGTGTATGTATAACCTCATTGACAGTAATTGATAGCGGAATTATTGTATGAGAAAGACAACTACAGACCACACCTGCCAGCAGAAGAGAATAGGATGTTGCCTTTATAGCCTTCTTTTCAGATAAGCTGTGTCCACATTCCTCTTCCCCTCCCCCATAAAAATAAAATGGCAAATGGTAGTAGTCTGCACACAAACAACTGCATTTTGACATCCCAAAATCCAGCCTATTAACTGACTAAACTAAATCTGCGGTAACACATTTTTCACCTCTCATAGCAGCCACCATGCAAGTTGTCTTCATTCAAAACATGAATTCATTGGCTGTCCACTAGTGGCAATAGTGGGTCAATAGAAGATGCTAAAATTGTGATTCTAATTTATATCAACATTTTGCTGCTATGTTGCTGCTGAATGACAGATACAGTATAATTTGGCTGAGAAGAGATGAGAGCAGAGTCAAACCAAAGCAACGAATTAGGACATAATTCATTTTCTTTCCATATTGTTTTATTTCATCAATGTCTTGAAGAGTGTTCATGTTAGCATGTCTGTCATATCACCAAATACAAAGTAACAGGTTGGTTTGTTATGAAATGTGTGTTGTGTTGTATAGTCAGGGTTAACTTGAATTGCACTTATTTTTCTCATTCAAATACACTTGGCAACAGTTCATTACCTACAATCAATTCAGTTTCATATAAAAAAAGAAACAAAATAACCATTTACAAAACCCCAACATCCATTCAGAAAACACACTCTCTCCATCTCTCTCTCACACACACACAAAGAAAGTAAAACAAACAGAAAAATAACTTAATTTCTCCCCCTCCCCTAAGATTAGCTGGCATCGCTACAATATTGATTATGTGCAACTGAGATGATAGCTAGGAGTCAGACACCCCTGTAGACTAGTGGTACTCCACCCTGGTCCTGAAGAACTACATGGTGTACAGGGTTTTGTTCCAGGTAAGCACTAACACACCTGATTCAACTAACCAGTTACTCAATAAGACTTCAATGAGAGTAGAATTGGGAGGGTTAGTGTTGGGATGGAACAAAAGTCTGCACACCTTATACTCCTCATAACCAGGGTTGGTGACCACTGTTGTAGAGGAAGATGCCCTCCTCTCTAAACACTCTCCTGCCACTGTTGGATGCTTCTAGAGCAGAAGTTCTGCACCTTTTCAGTAATGTAGGGTTGCCATCTACCATAAGGATTTGATAGAATTATATCAGATGTACAAATAAATCACTAATGAATGCATGAAAAAAATTAACAGCAAAAATAGAGAAATAAAAGTAAATTACAACAAAATATACATCTATATGTTGCGGCCAATTATTAAAGCATGGGTAAGTAAGTTGCCATCTTAAAGGTCATTTTGAGATATGAAACATTTTAAACAAGCTGGTATGTGTGTGGAAAGTAAAAAGCATACATATTCTCTTTAAAATGGACAAAAATTTTAAGAAAACCATACATTTGTAATCTACAGTATTTGCATCTATTTCAATGTGCTTTCCCTGAACAATTAAATGGGGAATCATGTATTTGTAATTAACATACAGTGCTTGTAGTACAATGCATAGAGGGCCTTGTGCTGTATGTCCAAGATGGCACATGAACAAGCAGAGGGCAATAGAAGTGAAAACACATGCAGCCTGTGAACCTGGGCCCATTGTAAGTCTTCTGCTCTGAAAGAGTGCATCACTTAAAATACTCAAGACCCCTGGATGAGTCCTGGAAGACTATTATATCTTCCATATTACCTGAGTATTTAATGGATCACAGATTATAATCTGTACTAGACCATAATCTGGACGAGATTCCAGTATATTTACTATGCTTCTACTACAGCCCTAAAAGAGAGTGGCGTGTCTACCTCCACAGCAGCCAAGGCACTGTGTTTGATGCTCCCTCTGAAAGATTGGGTAACTGTACTGTGACATCATTGACAAAAACCTTGAGAAATTGACATTTCTTGAATCATTTCAAATTACTGTAGTTAGTATATTCATTGGTACTAGTTCTAAACATAAGTATCAAATAAATATATGGACAGGTTGATGAGTGGTTAGCTGCATAAGTGTGCATGTGTGTGTTGCGTGCATGAAAGAAAAAAAGGTTGCCCAGCTCCACTTGGCCTTTAGTGTGCACCCGTGAACAGAGCTAAGCAGGTGCTGATTTGGATGATTCGGCTTGGACACCAGCCATAGAGGACAGTTGTAGTCTCTGATGGGCTAGAGGAGGACAGGCGAATAGGACATGGGGAATCTTATAGGGACGGACAAGAACAAGTCCTCCCTGCTCCACCTCTTCCTCCCTTTCCCTCCAGTAAGGCAGAGCCACAGAGCACAATACCGGCCAACTCAACAGTCATAGGGAGGGGCAGTAGTAGTAGAGCAATTCAACAGTAACAGAGTGATGCTGAGACTCAGATTTGTCACTTTAAAATGTATGTCAAACAAAAACTTTACAACTCTATGCACTCTAACTATTACAATTTCCACTGAACATTTTACGAAAACACATTTACTTGAAGAACAGTGCAGATGCACATTTTGGTAAAAGAATGACGGCACAAACCGTAATTATTACTAAACTTTGCATCTGCATTGTTCTTCAAGTAAATGTGTTTTTGTAAAATGTTCTATGGAAATGGTTAAAAGTAGTCCTTGTGTATAGAGTTTTATGGTGTATTCAACTTTGCAATCATTGGTTTTTGAGTCTCAGCATCACTCTGTTAATGTGGAATTGCCCAGTACTAACAGGGTCGTATTCATTAGGGCACACCGTAGCAAAACGTTTTTAAACAAAAGAAAGCAAAAATAAGCGTTTCTTGACGTCCCCTGTTTCCGTTCGTTTGGTGCCTAATGAATACGACCCAGGTTGGCCGTGTATGTATGTATGTATGTATGTATGTATGTGGGATCTCAGAGTTTGTCGGCGTTGGCGTAGAGTGTGTCCTCATCGCTCTCGCTCTCATCCTGGAACTCATTGGAGAGCAGGGACTTCTTGGAGCCCATGGAGGTGAGGCGTATCTCGTCCTCGTAATCGTCACGGTGCTGCCGCAGCCGGTGGAAACCATCCTTCTGCTGGTTGGACTTAGCAGCGCACACGCACCAGATGATACAGGCTGTCACCACCAGGGCCGTCATGGAGGCCGCTGCAGGGAAGGACAGACAAGCATATACAGTGAGGGAAAAAAGTATTTGATCCCCTGCTGATTTTGTACGTTTGCCCACTGACAAAGAAACGATCAGTCTATAATTTTAATGGTAGGTTTATTTGAACAGTGAGAGACAGAATAACAACAAAAAAATCCAGAAAAACGCATGTCAAAAATGTTATAAATTGATTTGCATTTTAATTAGGGAAATAAGTATTTGACCCCCTCTCAATCAGAAAGATTTCTGGCTCCTAGGCGTCTTTTATACAGGTAACGAGCTGAGATTAGGAGCACACTCTTAAAGGCAGTGCCCCTGATCTCAGCTTGTTACCTGTATAAAAGACACCTGTCCACAGAAGCAATCAATCTATTAGATTCCAAACTCTCCACCATGGCCAAGACCAAAAGAGCTCTCCAAGGATGTTAAGGACAAGATTGTAGACCTACACAAGGCTGGAACAAAAGAGCTCTCCAAGGATGTTAAGGACAAGATTGTAGACCTACACAAGGCTGGAATGGGCTACAAGACCATTGCCAAGCAGCTTGGTGAGAAGGTGACAACAGTTGGTGTGATTATTCGCAAATGGAAGAAACACAAAAGACTGTCAATCTCCCTCGGCCTGGGGCTCCATGCAAGATCTCACCTCGTGGAGTTGCAATGATAATGAGAACGGTGAGGAATCAGCCCAGAACTACATGGGAGGATCTTGTCAATGATCTCAAGGCAGCTGGGACCATAGTCACCAAGAAAACAATTGGTAACACACTACGCCGTGAAGGACTGAAATTCTGCAGCGCCCGCAAGGTCCCCCTGCTCAAGAAAGTACATATACATGCCATCTGAAGTTTGCCAATGAACATCTGAATGATTCAGAGGAGAACTGGGTGAAAGTGTTGTGGTCAGATGAGACCAAAATCGAGCTCTTTGGCATCAACTCAACTCGCCGTGTTTGGAGGAGGAGGAATGCTGCCTATGACCCCAAGAACACCATCCCCACCGTCAAACATTGAGGTGGAAACATTATACTTTGGGGGTGTTTTTCTGCTAAGGGGACAGGACAACTTCACCGCATCAAAGGGACGATGGACGGGGCCATGTACCGTCAAATCTTGGGTGAGAACCTCCTTCCCTCAGCCAGGGCATTGAAAATGGGTCGTGGATTGGTATTCCAGCATGACAATGACCCAAAACACACGGCCAAGGCAACAAAGGAGTGGCTCAAGAAGAAGCACATTAAGGTCCTGGAGTGGCCTAGCCAGTCTCCAGACCTTAATCCCATTGAAAATATGTGGAGGGAGCTGAAGGTTCGAGTTGCCAAACGTCAGCCTCGAAATCTTAATGACTTGGAGAAGATCTGCAAAGAGGAGTGGGACAAAATCCCTCCTGAGATGTGTGCAAACCTGGTGGCCAACTACAAGAAATGTCTGACCTCTGTGATTGCCAACAAGGGTTTTGCCAACAAGTACTAAGTCATGTTTTGCAGAGGGGTCAAATACTTATTTCCAAATCAATTTATAACATTTTTGACATGCGTTTTTCTGGATTTTGTTGTTGTTATTCTGTCTCTCACTGTTCAAATAAACCTACCATTAAAATTATAGACTGACCATGTCTTTGTCAGTGGGCAAACGTACAAAATCAGCAGGGGATCAAATACTTTTTTCCCTCACTGTCTACAGTGCATTTTGAAAGTATTCTGACCTCTTCCCTTTTTCCACATGTTGTTACGTTACAGCATTATTCTAAAATGGATTAAATAAATACAAAAATCTCAATCTACATACAATACCCCATAATGACAAAGAGAAACAGGTTTTTAGAAATTTCAGCAAATGTATTAAAAATTAAAAAACTAAAATACCTTATTTACATAAGTATTCAGACCCTTTGCTATGAGACTCAAAATTGAGCTCAGGTACATCCTGTTTCCATTTATCATCCTTGAGATGTTTCTACAACTTGATTGGAGTCCACCTGTGGGAAATTGAATTGATTGGACAAGGTACACACCTGTCTATATAAGGTCCCACAGTTGACAGTGCATGTCAGAGCAATAACCAAGCCATGAGGTCGAAGGAATTGTCCGTAGAGCTCAAAGACAGGATTTTGTCGAGGCACAGATCTGGGGAACGGTACCCAAAAAATTCTGCAGCATTGAAGGTCCCCAAGAACACAGTGGCCTCCATCATTCTTAAATGGAAGAAGTTTGGAACCACCAAGACTCTTCCTAGAGCTGGCCGCCCGGCCAAACTGAGCAATCGGGGGAGAAGGGCCTTGGTCAGGGAGGTTACCAAGAATTCGATGGTCACTCTGACAGAGCTCCAGAGTTCCTCTGTGGAGATGGGAAAACCTCCCAGAAGGACAACCATCTCTGCAGCATTCCACCAATCAGGCCTTTATGGTAGAGTGGCCCGACGGAAGCCACTCCTCAGTAAAAGGCACATGACAGTCCACTTGGAGTTTGCCAAAAGGCACCTAAAGGACTCTTGGACCATGAGAAACAAGATTTTCTGGTCTGATGAACTATTTGGCCTGAATGCCAAGCGTCACATCAGGAGGAAACCTGGCACCATCCCTACGGTCAAGCATGGTGGTGACAGCATCATGCTGTGGGGATGTTTTTCAGCGGCAGGGACTGGGAGACTAGTCAGGATCGAGGGAAAGATGAACAGAGCAAAGTACAGACAGATCCTTGATGAAAACCTGCTCCAGAGCGCTCAAGGCCTCAGTCTGGGGTGAAGGTTCACCTTCCAACAGGACAACGACCCTAAGCACACAGCCAAAACAACAGAGGTGTGGCTTCAGGACAAGTCTCTTAATGTACTTGAGTGGCCCAGTCAGAGCCCGGACTTGAACCCAATCTAACATCTCTGGAGAGACCTGAAAATAGCTGTGCAGCGACACTCCACATCCAACCTGACAGAGCTTGAGAGGATCTGCAGAGAAGAATGGGAGAAACTCCCCAAATACAGGTGTGCCAAGCTTGTAGCATCATATACCCAAGAAGACTCAAAGCTGTAATCGCTGCCAAAGGTGCTTCAAGAAGGTACTGAGTAAAAAGTCTGACTACTTATGTAAATGTGATATTTCAAATTTGAACAACCAGTTTTTATTTGGCATTATGGGGTAATGTGTGTAGATTGAAGAGGGGGAAAAAAAACATTTAATCAATGTTAGAATACGGCTGTAAGGTAACAAAATGTGGAAAACGTAAATGGGTCTGAATACTTTCCGAATGCACTGTACATGAGGCAGAGGCACAAAACAAACATATGTCCTAAAGACCTACAGCATTTAACTTATTCACCTTGTCATACTCCCTACAATAGTCCCTGGGCCGACTAGGTGAAAAATCTGTCGATGTGCACTTGAGCAAAGCACTTTACCCTAATTGCTCCTGTAAATCGGTCTGGATAAGAGCATCTTATTTTTTAATTTTTTTAAGTCATTGTCTGCAATCATCTGGCAACATTACACAAAAGGTAACATCTCCACAAAACACATTTCTCCTCATGCTTACCTGCAGTAGCCACAACAAACTCCCGGGGCAGGCCAAAAATGCGGTTGTCCATGTCAAACTCAATGATGATGGACGTGGCGGCTTCATATGACGACACAACCACCTCCTGCCGTTGTTGCTGGTAGCCATCAGCCACAGCCTCTATGTTGTGGTTTCCTGGTGCCAGCAGAGCATGGAAGTAGCCTCCCTCTGCAGTGAACACCCTCACACCCCCGTTCAACACTATCATGGCCCCCACGATGGGCTTCCCACTCTTATCCTTCACCACGCCACGTACACCTTTATGGACCTGAGAGAGAGACAGAAACACAGATTGAATGTAAAGTACACAGAACAAAAAGTAAGTAGCCTTGTCCGAGCCAGAACGGCCGATAGGGCAGGAGCCTATATCCTGTTACTGTAGCGTAAGACAGCTTGATGTACAGTACAAGTACACACCCTGAACAGGACGCTAGCAAAGATTTGTATAACTAAACCCAGATAGACCACAGCCCGTCGTTTCAAATGGGAACAAATGAGTCAAAGTGGGTGAAATCAGTCTCATTGTTCTATCTGTGACGTTAGTCTATCGCAGGAAGACAGACTATCACTAGTCTATTACATTAAGTAATATTATTTTAATTAAATCTGCGGTGGCAATATTGACACATGTATGCCATGTACGCATTCAATAATGTATCAAACAAATGCGTTTGATAAGTAACCAATCAGAGTGCCAAAATGCATGAATTAATTATTATCAAACACACTCAATAACTCTTATCAACGTGTTTGTGAACTTATTTCATGCATTTGTATCACATGACCCCAGATCAGAGGTCAAGGGTATTACTGACCTCCACCAGCATGCTGAGCAGTGCCTTCCTGTTCTCAGCCCACAGCGTGGCCAGCTGCTCGGCCGGGGGGAACAGACAGCAGCCTGTATACACCGTGATCTCTGGACAGTGGCCAAAGTCCACACTGAAGTCCTGGAACACACAGACAGACAGACATACACACAGATCAGAAGAGGCATATTGATGACCAATAAATATAGTCCTGTCCTTCCAGATGCCTCTTTGGGCCCGGGTTGACAGAACAACCCTCCTCCTGTGAGAGGTATAGCATTAGAACGCAGGGGTTGATGAAACATACCTTCATGCTGCCCATGTGACTTTGTCTCTCTGCTGCCCTGAGTACTCCATCTGGGATGTTACCCACTGGGGAGAGAGGAGGAGAAGAGGAGGCTGAAACAGAGGAGTCAATAGATATATAGAAGCCATCTTCTTTTCCAATTCAAAACTTCATTTTAATTCAGTCTATAGGTCACAGTGGTCTATTTGTGGTGCTGTTGGTACATACTTTGGCCATTGCTTGGACATCCTGTATCCCCCAGGTGCATCTTGGGATGGTTTCTGGCGTACACATTGGCCAGGTACTTCAAAGTTTCCTCATTTTCAACTGAAAAAAAGTACACGATTAGTTAACTATTAATTTTCCCACTAAAATATTCTATTTGGAGCTCCATGCTCCTACCTGGCTGTACAGGCTTGTCGTAGGGGTAAGTAGCCAACAGGGAGCCTCCATCCAGGGCTACAGAGAGTGTGAAGCCCCTCTCTAAGATCAGGTCCATCACTGCCCTGGTCTCTGGCTGAGCCATCACCACGCGCTGGGAGGCATTACCTACAGCAGCAGCACACACAGACACGATACCATCAGACATGTAAGGGCATGCAAATACACACACACACACACAACACACAAACATCTCCGTCTATCCAACAACAGCAGGTACTGACCGAAGAAGTCAGTGTCCAGATCTTTCCCGTGTGCGTTGGTCATGCCCACAGTAGAGGTGCACTGTTTCTCTCTGGCCAGCTCTCGTCCATCTGGGTTGATGGAGGGAAGGATGACGATCCGCGTCTCGTTTATCAACTGTGGAGAGGAGAAGAGGGAGAAGGATAAAGAGGAATGCTGGATAAACAGGACAGCAGTGATATTTAATGGGAGCTTTTTTATTTTACAACATCTCTAAACTGTTTAGAAAGTGTGGTAGATCACAAAATCCACATTTTATGAATATTTAGCCATTTCAAGGCAACACAACTGTGCAAGGGTGTGAATAATTTCACTAGGCACTGTAGTTATGATTGGAGTAGTAAAACCATCTCAGTTAAAGCATCTCACCCTGGTAATGGTGGGGTTCTTGCCATAGTTGATGCAGAGGAAGGCAGCGAACTCCAGCAGGAGCTCTGTGCCCACGGGGGCGTTGCCATGGATACCTCCCACCAAGCGGATCTTGGGCTCGGCCGTTTCAGGCTCGTCTGGTTTGTTGGAGATCTCCAAGGCCCAGATGGTCCTGTACTCCACACTCTGGCCCAAACTAGACACAAAAATTTATTTTATTATCAGTTCCACTGTAGATAATATGGAATATGGTTACCTAGCAGACTCTTCTGCATAGAGACGTAGACCATAATTCAAACCATTTGGAGGAGAGGTTTTGAGGTTAGCCATTAGGGGTACAGGGGGGCAGGTAGCCTAGCGGTTAGAGCGTTGGGCCAGTAACCGGAAGGTCGCTGGTTCGAATACCTGAGCCAACAAGGTGAAAAATCTGTCGATGTGCCCTTGAACAAGGCACTTAACCCTAATTTGCTCCATGGACGCCGTACTACTATGGCAGACCCTGTAAAACAATACATTTCTCTGGTGTATGTGATAATATATATACCTTTTTTTTTTTACATGACAAGTAAAATTATTTTGATGAAGGGCAGTTACACTAGGGGTTAGAGGTCAGTGTTTACCTATGCAGGGCGTGACATTTGATGAGTTTAGCTAGGAGGTCATAACTCAGGCCTACCTATGTAGGGAGGTGATCTTGGGGAAGTTGAGCGTCAAACCCCTCAGGAACTCAGACAGCTCCTTGTAGCGTCTGTATCTGAAGCTGCTCTCTGTGGCAGTACTCTGAACCAGCTGCTCCAGCCCCTGGCCCAGAGACAGGTCCTTAATGAAGCTCTGGAACACCTCCTCTGCAGGGTCCTGGGTGGCCCTGGGGTCCTTGGGGGCCTGGCCGTTGGGCTCCGAACGCACCCGTGTCAGCCGGAAGTCTACCAGCTCCACCCCCTCCTCTGGCACTGTGGCGTAGATCTTTACCGAGTTGTACCTGAGAAGACGGGGAGGGAGGGTTAGGGTATAGAAGGTTGTTCATTCTAGCTGTTCTGTTTCTGTGGGTTAGGGTGTGGTTACCCTGCAGATAAATAGGGTTTTTTGGACCGGTCTTGGGTCTACATTTTAAACAAACCCTCTAATTTATCTCAGTTACTACTATGGTCCTGTCTCTCACCCCCGTGCGGAGGCTGTGAGGTGGTACGTTCCAGGGACCAGAAGTCTCCAGTATTCTCCATCTAGGTTGGTTGTGATTGGATGATCAATCTCCTCCACCGTGATGGTGGCATTAGGGATGCCTGTACCATCTTTAATGTCTATCACCATGCCCTTCACTCCTCTGTGGACCTGCAGAGGCACACACACACACAGGATGATTACCTCAAATTGAAGTTGGTGCATTTGAGACAAAATAAGTAGGTAAGACAAAGGGAAAGAGAGAAATTATATGTAAAAAATAAATACAATTGAGTTAGTGAGAGAGTGTGATTAAGAGAGAGAGTGAGTGAGAGTGAGTGAGGGTGATGAATGAATGAGAGCGTAGTGAAGGACAGCATGTAAGTATGCTGACCTGGTGGATGTACTGCAGTAAGGCTCTGCGGTTCTGGTCCCAGTACAAAGGCAGGTGCTGGGCTTTAGGGTACTTCACACAGCCCAACTCTATGGTCACCTCAAAACAGTTAGTGTTCAGGTAGTTCCAGTCCTGCATCCCACCTGGCGAGAGAACACAAAGAGAAGTCAGATACACACGCACAGGTGCGCACAGACACACAAATTCTTCCTCTCAGTGTGTGTATTGGCATGGGAGGGCACGTACCGGGAACATTGTACCAGTTGGCGCCGTTGGTGATGCCGTCCTCAAAGAACTCCGATGGGTAAAGGTCCTCACAAGGGTGCCCTTTGTGCATCAGAGCATTTTCCTGGACACACATCAAAAAGGGCAAATGCAATGCAATACAAACAGCAGAATTGAAACAGTAAACGTATCTTCAACTGTCCAGTGGTTCTATTAACAGAATAAAAATAATTTACAACTGTATAAATATATTCATTAAAAAGTGACATTAATGGACTGATATAATGACCGAAATTGTTTGTTGAAGTCCACTGACCTGAGAGTAGGCTCTGGCCACCAGTTTAAAGACCTTGTCATCAGGACACTTGCTGTACTCCGTACGTCCCTGCTTGTCATCATCATATGGGTAGTTGACCACCAATGACCCTGTAGTGGGCAGAGAGGAAATATGCAATGAGAATACAGTATATTACTAAAATAATAAAGCTGTCTTCCAAAGTGGGCCAATATGTCGGTGGCAGGCCAATATACAATTTTTATAAACATTGGAAAATGGGGGCGCTTAGGGCTTACCCCCATGTAGGTTGGCTGAGAGCACGAAGGGATTATTCTTGAGCCACTTCATCACAGCGATGGTCTCTGGCTGCCTGGGTTCAGTGATGGTAGTAAACTGGTCAGGGAAGTTACGGTTCAGGTCAAAGTTGTTACTGTTGTTGCGTCCCGTGTACCCTCTGACATCACCTGCGAGAGAAAATGAACAGAAAACAATACAAATACATTGCACCCTAAATACATTATATCTATATCTCAATTAATTATACAAAGACAACTGAAATGGATCATTCTGATGTCACAGTACCAAAACACATATTTCCAGGGCTTATTTTAATAATAGGGTAGTTACACCTTAAATATTTCCCCTGTTGATCAACTTCCTGTTTATAAAGCGCTGGGGAAAACAGCAGCACAACTGCCTGAGCTAAAACTAGACCTATGTAAGAGGAAGTGTGAGAAAATCTACAGGGCAAATAAGGAAGCTAGGCAGCAAAAGAGAAGAAATTCCATTCAGAATTATTTCAAGGTCTCAGTCTGACAATTGACATACAGATAGTTTCTGCTAGCATATTCAAGTTATTTGAATCGGACACTTGTTTTTGTTCACAGCCAGACAGTTACTTACCGCTAATCATGTTAAATGCCTTATTTTAGGGCTACACTGCATTTTTCTTCACCTGGCATGTGTACAGGCAACATTTTCACAAATAGACCCCCCACACACACACACACACACACACAAACACTTCCCTCTCTTACCCTCCCTGGCGATCTCATAACCATCTGGGTTCATGGAAGGCATGATGTGTATCCGGGTCGTGTTGACCAGCTGGGTGACCTCAGGGTCGCTGCCATAGTTACGGCACAGGTACTCAATGAGGTTGAGGAGCAGCTCGCGTCCCACCACCTCGTTCCCGTGCATGTTAGCTATGTACTTGAACTCTGGTTCACCTGAAGGAAAGGGGAGAAAAGAGGCGGAAAAATAAAGAAAAAAGTGTTAGACTGCTATTAAAAAATAGTGCAGAGTCGGCTGAGAGAGAATGAGGGCGGCAGCCTCCTGAACAAATTCACACTCAATTAAACTAAAGCACTCCATTCATTCCTTATCCTTGCAGTGCCATTTCAAGGCCACCAAAATATTGAAAAAACACAACGCTGTAATGGACCTGCTGATACGAGTGAGTACCCCACATTCAAAAGGATATGAAGCTACTAGATCATTGAGCTGAAGCAATAATATCAGGATTTTTTTAAGGAAGAAAACAGCAGAACTGCTATTTTTCTAGACTATGAATTTCAGTGTTTGAACACAATCCAGTTACTGTAAGAAGTTAGATCATCATAAACCAAACAACCATAGATTGAAGGCCTCAATTTAGAGCTAATAGTCTCTTCTGGAGCTCCAGTCACACCCATACCTGGCTCGTGGACGGTGGGGTTGTCTGATATCACCATGACGTAGAGCTCACGGTCCTCTGCTGACTTCCCAATGGAGTAGAGATGAGCGATGGAACGGAACCCGTTGCTGTACCTGTTGTGTTGAAAGAACAAGGCTTTTTCACATTTTATTCAAGCTCTCACATCCTAACATTACTTGCTAGCTTAATATTTTAAATGCTTCACTGCAAAGGCTATAACACAAACATAACAGTACCTGCGCAGGAACAGCTCCATGTCATTGTAGTGGTGATGGCGGAAGTCCTGTGGCTGGATGGGCTGGTGCTCAGGCTGGGCTGGGGGCTGAGCCTCCTGGGGAGTGGAGCTCTCGTTGGCCACAGAGGTCCCCATCTCAGAGGTGGTGCTGGAGGTCTCGATGGTGGTGGAGTCAGGGTCAGAGGTTGTGGTAGGGACGGTGGTAGTGGTGATGGTGGGGGTAAAGGGTACGGTTATGCCAACTGTGGGTTCATTTCCCAGTGGTGCCAGGGTGAAGTTGAGCTCGGTGGCCTTGCCCTCCACCACTTGAACCCCAACTACTGTCATGGACATGTACCTATGAAGACCGAGACATTGAATATGTTTATTTTGTTGCAGTTAAAATAAAATAAAACAAAACATTTCGTAATGCAAAAAACTAAGTGAAACCCCTGTGCACAGCAGTGCGTCTACATCCAGGTGATATATTTGAAATGTATTTCACCAGGAAGTGTCAGGTAACATGGGAAAGTACCAGTAACAGGGGAAAATATCTTAGAGGAAATTAAGCTCTAAGATGTACATTTACTTCCTGTAAGAAAACACCACACAAATCAGTTCCAAGAAAAACAGACAGGAACTAAAATCAGGAGTAGAGTATGCTTCTTTCGTTAAATACTTTATTTTCTGTACACTGTGCCTGCAAGTTACTGTAGCAACAATAGAGGAGCTCATTCCTCCAGCAGTACTTACCCCGTGGCTATAGCTGAGACGTTGTATGTCCCAGGGAGCAGCAGGCGGTAGTAGTCACCAAACTGGGCCGTGGTCAGGTTATGGTTGATGCCTGCCACCACGATCCTGACATCAGGCAGCGCTGTCCCATTGGCAGCGTCCTTCACATAGCCTCTCACTCCAATGTGAACCTGGGAGAGAACAGGATAAAGTCAGAAGAGATCTCAAACACTGTTCCTATTGCCTCAGTAGCTGGGAACAAAAGAAGCTCAAATCACTAAGTGCTGCCTTGAACTAATTAACTACTGCAAACGGATGTCAAGACGGAACAATCTCTTCAATTAAAATAAATAAATAAATAAATAAATAAAAATAAATAAATAAATAGAGTGCAGTAGTAAGAACCGGAGAGTAATACTACGGATATTCATATGTGCAATGAAATTATGTGTATGATAGTTTGAAAGTTTGAGTGTGACACTGTCTTGTGAAAGCCTACCTGCTCCAGGTAGGCAATGAGTGACTCCCTGTTGTAGTCCCACTCTTTCTTTAACTCGGAGGCCGGGGGAAATTTACAGCAGCTCAGTTCTATGGTGATCTCCAGGCAATTTCCATTCAGGTAGTTATAGTCCTGCATGCCTCCTGAACAGGGATTACAAATTGTAGTTTATGTCAATAATTTTTCATGCAAACATTTCAATGTCTCTCTGCTTCAAAACCACTCAAGAAGACATCCATATCACTTTTGGAAGCACAAACTAAAGAAAGTGGGCAAGCATACAAAATAAACTGTCAAAAGAAAGTGTTGACTCAATCTCTTCTGTTTAGGTCATGAAAGCAACAGCATGAACACAGGCCTAATGCTTTGGATCAGGAATGTCCTTAAAATCTACACCAAACCCAGGATATAGGTGAAAGGTGTAGATCAATCCAAAGTGCCTCTGGCAAAGGAGAGCAGAGCAGGCTGTGGCCAGCACTAGCCTTTCCTCCAGTCCAGGGCTGCCTGGTGGAGGAATGTTTTTGATGTGGCCTGGTGCCACCTGCCACCCAGACAGCGTTCCCAGGTTGCACTCAGCACAGAGCCAGACAGCAGGCCGGCAGTAGGCCTCTGGAGAGTGGCCATGACTGGGTGGGCGCTGTAACCTAATAAGGGTTTCCGTTTGGAAAATGTGGTGCCGGACATTTAACCGACAGCATTTTAAATGTACCGGACATTTGAGAAATGTACTGGACCCATATGCATTGGGTGTGTAACCGTATTATGGCGTCCATTCACGGTGCTCAGAATGACAGAAATCACATTTTGATTATGGTAATTAATATTAACAGAACATGCAAGACGAGGATGCAACGATGTGTGGTCCATCTTATTGAAATATGATGCACACTTTGAAGATGTTAGAATAACTGTCCACATTTACTTTTCCTCTACCAACAAGATAAGTAAGGAACAGCAAAATTACTAGCCAACGTCAATCTACCATAGTACCCATAGTAGAAAAGTTTACCTAGGCCTATTGTATTGGTCAGCTTGTCGAGAAAGAAATAGTCTATTCCAAACTGACTCTGGGACAGTTGTGGGACGATAGAGCCCAAACTCATCCAACCAGTAGGCCTAGGCTACATAAACAACACGTTAAAAAGCAATGAGTCTGATGCAACAGATCAGAACATTTAGCTGAACATTTTGATAAACTATTATTTCTTCACATTATAAGCACAGCAATGCGCACAAGGCAGTAGTGCAAATGTTAGTTCCATAATGCAATTAGCGGGACAACTGTTGTCAAAATTGCACCGCACACGCGAGCAGTTTCATGTGACAGATGAAAATATCAGTTAGAAATGTAGAAAGAGGGGAGATCTAATATGCAACAACTAGCATGGGTTGCTAATATGACTAGGATTGCGCCTTTGGCTACTGGATAACGAAAGAAAGTTGATGTAAAATAATTGCCTCCATGGATATGGTCAGATTTTGTCTAGGCAACTTTGAAGCAAGGTAAGACATGCCTCATAATATGTAGTAAAACTTTCAGGTTTCAAACAATTAAGAATATGTTTTCAAAATGCATAGTGGTGTGTGACGTGCTGATGAAGCCTGCCTTCCATTGCCTATGCATTTGCTGTTTGAGATGATGTAGTAGCAGCTCTCGCGCTGTCTGACAGATTCTGCACTCAAAAGCTTTGTATCTCTCTATGCTTTGCGAGTGTGATAAATAAGATACAGTGCATTCTGAAAGTATTCAGACCCCTTGACTTTTTCCACATTTTGTTACGTTACAGCCTTAATCTAAAATGTATTAAATACGTTTATTTCCTCATCAATCTACCCACAATACCCCTAATGACAAAGCAAAAACAGGTTTTTAGAAATTTTTGCAAATGTATTAAAAATTTAAAACTGAAATACCTTATTTACATAAGTAATCAGACCCTTTGCTTTCAGACTCGAAATTAAGCGTTGATCATCATAAATGTAGCCTATGCCTACTGGTCAAAAGTTTGGACACACCTCATTCCAGGGTTTTTCTTAATTATTTACTATTTTCTACATTGTAGAAAAATTGTGAAGAGATCAAAACTATGAAATAACACATATGGAATCATGTTGTAACCAAAAAAAGTGTTAAACAAATCAAAATATATTTTATATTTGAGATTCGTCACATAGCCAACCTTTGTTTTGATGACAGCTTGGCACACTCTTGGCATTCTCTGAACCAGCATCACCTGGAATGCTTTTCCAAAAGTCTTGAAGGAGTTCCCACATATACTGAGCACTTGTTGGCTGCTTTTCCTTCACTCTACGGTGGGAAATACACATGCAGAGATCATCCGTTCACCCACACCGCATCTCACAAAGCCACGGCGGTTGGAACCAAAAATCTCCAATTTGGACTCCAGACAAAAGGACACATTTCCACCGGTCTAACGTCCATTGCTCGTGTTTCTTGGCCCAAGCAAGTCTCTTCTTCTTATTGGTGTCCTTTAGTAGTGGTTTCTTTGTAGCAATTCGACCATGAAGGCCTGATTCACACAGTCTCCTCTGAACAGTTGCTGTAGAGATGTGTCTGTTACTTGAACTTTGGGCTGCAATTTCTGAGGGTGGTAACTTTAACTTATCCTCTGCAGCAGAGGTAACTCTGGTTCTTCCATACCTGTGGCGGTCCTCATGAGAGCCAGTTTCATCATAGCACTTGATGGTTTTTGCGACTGCACTTGAAGAAACTTTCAAAGTTCTTGACATTTTCCGTATTGACTGACCTTCACATCTTAAAGTAATGATGGACTGTTGTTTTTCTTTGCTTATTTGAGGTGTTCTTGCCATAATATGGACTTGGTCTTTTACCAAATAGGGCCATTTTCTGTATACCCTCTCCCCCTTGTCACAACACAACTGATTGGCTCAAAACACATTAAGAAGGAAAGATGTCATCAAGACAAAGGTTGGCTACTTTGAAGAATCTCAAATATTTGTTTAACACTTTTTTGGTTACTACATGATTCCATATGTGTTATTTCATAGTTTATGTCTTCACTATTATTCTACAATGTAAAAATTAGTACAAATAAAGAAAAACCCTTGAATGAGTAGGTGTGTCCAAACTTTTGACTGGTAATATATATACACACACAGTTGAAGTCGGAAGTTTACATACAGTTAGGTTGGAATCATTAAAACTCGTTTTTCAACCACTCCACAAATTTCTTGTCAACAAACTATAGTTTTGGTAAGTCGGTTAGGACATCTACTTTGTGTATGACACAAGTCATTTTTCCAACAATTGTTTACAGATTATTTCACTGTATCACAATTCCAGTGGGTCAGAAGTTTACATACACTAAGTTGACTGTGCCTTTTGTAGACCTCCACAAGTCTGATTCATCCTTGGGAGCAATTTCCAAATGCCTGAAGGTACCACGTTAATCTGTACAAACAATAGTACGCAAGTATAAACACCATGGGACCACGCAGCCATCATACCGCTCAGGAAGGAGACACGTTCTGTATCCTAGAGATGAACGTACTTTGATGTGAAAAGTGCAAATCAATCCCTGAACAACAGCAAAGGACATTGTTAAATCAAGATGGCGTAGTAGTGCGGTCGTGTTTGTGTTGTGTCGTCATGTAAATAGACAGTTTTTTTGGTCTTTTATTCATTATATATATATATATATATATATATATATATATATATATATATATATATATATATATATATATATATATATATATATATATATATATATATATATATATATATATATATATATAGACACACACAAACATCTCACTTTCTATCCTTTAACTAAATATACTTTCCTGCACCCCGCCTCACCCAATGTGGAACGGATTCTATTATTTCTTTATTTTTATCAAGAACCTACGGCTGAAACTAGCCAGCTAACTAGCGGGCCGGACCTAGCGGGCCGGGGCTAGCTGATGTGGTTTCAACAGGCTTCCCGTTGCGACGACCACGAAGATCCATCTGCTAGCCCCGGCCCGCTAGCACGCCCAATCAACAGCCGTGCCTCCTGCTCGCCTGTGTTTTAGCAGCCTACGATCTGCTCCCGGACTTACTTAGTACTGTTCACTGAACCTTATGATCACTCAGCTACACAGCTAATGCCTGCTGGACTGTTCCTTTACACGGTACCCCATCCTGTTTATCTGTTTAGCCTCAGCCCAAACTTTCGTCGCCATTACCAGTTGTTGTCTTAGCGCTCTCGAATAACACCTATGATTGCGTTATGCCTCTCTCCTATGTCAATATGCCTAGCCTATTGCTGTTTGGGTTAGTTCTTATTATACAATTTCACTGTAGAGCCCCAAGTTCAGCTCAACCAGCCTCAGAGAGCTCCTTTGTCCCACCCCCCATACACACGGAGACCGGCTCAATCGGTCTCCCATGGGGCGGCGCACAATTGGCCCAGCGTCGTCCAGGGTAGGGGAGGGAATGGCCGGCAGGGATGTAGCTCAGTTGGTAGAGCATGGCGTTTGCAACGCCAGGGTTGTGGGTTCGATTCCCACGGGGGGGCAGTATGAAAGAAAATAAATAATTATGTATGCACTCACTAACTGTAAGTCGCTCTGGATAAGAGCGTCTGCTAAATGACTAAAATGTAAATGTAAAATGTACCTCCAGTGATGCTCTCTCTTTCATAGTTACCCAATGCTTAGGTGTACCTCCACTGTACTCATATCCTTGTCTGTCCATAATGCCCTGAATCTATTCTACAACCCCGGAAATCTCCCCCTTTTATTCTCTGTACCAAACGTACTAGAAGACCAGTTCTTAAAGCCTTTAGCCGTATACTTATTATATTCCTCCTCTGTTCCTCTGGTGATGTAGAGGTTAACCCAGGCCCTGTAGCCCCCAGTATCACTCCTACCCCCCAGGCGCTATCATTTGTTGACTTCTGTAACTGTAAACGCCTTAGTTTCTTGCATGTTAACATCAGAAGCCTCCTCCCCAAGTTTCAGTTATTCACTGCGTTAGCACACTCTGCCAACCCTGATGTTCTAGCAGTGTCTGAATCTTGGCTTAGGAAGGCCACCAAAAATTCAGATATTTCCATCCCGAACTACAACATTTTCCGTCTAGATAGAACTGCCAAAGGGGGGCGGAGTTG